TTCCTTCCTTTCCCTTCATTTTATTTGGAGTTGCACTATGTAGTGCAGTCTAACCTTGAACTATGTAGCCCAGAATGGTCTTAGACTCACAGTAATCTTCCAAAAGATTACAATCTTTTGACTGGACTAAAACTGCAAAAATTTTTAGCAAGATTTTTGAGTAGAGATTTAAATCGTTAAATTATACCAGTATTAAAGGTTCTTTGAAGGCTGTGATTTTTAAAAAAATCTTTATTTATCTATTTGGTACAATGTCTCATTATGCAGCACAGACTCATATGATTCTCTTATCTCAGCCTCCCCAGCTCTAGGATTGTGGGCCTGCGCCACCACCCCTGGTTTTGGTAGCTGGCATGCCCTCCCAGTGTTCTGAGGCTGGCATGGCATGCGGTACTGGGAGTCAAACCTGGGTCCTTGCATTTGTCAGGCAGGCGCTTAGACAGCCAAGCTATATCCCCAGCCTGAATGCTGGGCTTTTATGTAGCCTTAACTGTTTTGTTAGTTTCATATCTAATTAATTTTCATAAAATAATCTTGTATCTGCTGTGAGAAGTAGAAAGAACCTCATTTGTCTAGATGTATGTTATCCATATGAATATTTTATTATATCTTTCACATGTATTATTTATTGATTACAGCCTTTTATGGTTAGTGCTATTGTTTTTCCTTGGAGACAGATGTTATGAAATCATTGAAATATATCTATAAATCAAACATTTTACTTATCACGTTAACATGTGTTTATATATCTTAATTCTTACAGTGGGAAGCAAATTCTAAAATTAAGATAGTTTTAATTTTTTTTACTTTGGCCCTTTTTTCCCAGTGTGTTGAAATTCCTTTGAACTATGTAGCCCAGAATGACAAATATTTACTTTCATAAGCTAAATTTGCACTTTTTAAATGTTACTTGATAAACCCAGGTGTATAGTATATGAGAAGATAGCTTTTATGTGATGTAGTTTAGCAAAATAATACATTTAACAAGGTCTTGTTAGTATTTGATCTTAGTTATTCTTGGATATTGCTTTCCTGCATCATTACCCATTCCACTAATATGAGCAAGAGCTCCTGGCTGGCTTAGAATAAAATCAAATTGACATACATATTTAACCAAAGTTAGCAGAATACATCTGTTTGTTTGTTTGGTCTTTTTGAGGCAGGGTTTTACTACGTACTTCAGGCTGGCCTCGAACACTTTGTAGCCCAGGCTGGCCTGGTTTCAGATCCTCCTGCCTCAACCCCTTGAGTGTTGAAATTACAGGCGTGCACCACCATGTCCTGCCGTCTGATAACTTAATATTAGCATATGTGTATCTAGCATTTTATAGGACCCCAAATTATAAAATTATAAATATTGTTTGCACTGATGTTGACTATTCTGATTTTAGAATTATGTTTTCTGGAGGAATCTATGCCAAATTATAATGGTTTTAATTTCAAATACACTCATTAGTTCTTTTGCAGACTTTCAGAAAACCTTGCTGACAAAAAGAAGACAACTTAGATGCTTTCTAGTTTTGTTTTCACCTTGGACTTTATGTTAGATTTGCTTTTCTTTTGTTTTGATTCTCTTCTGCAGGTGACAAACTTGTCTTTTTTTTCCCCCTGCCTTTTGTCTCTTTGGGTCACCAGTCTTCCACCCTGTGGAGTGCTCCTATTGCCGCTGTGAGAGCATGATGGGCTTCCGGTACCGATGCCAGCAGTGCCACAACTACCAGCTCTGCCAGAACTGCTTTTGGCGTGGCCATGCTAGTGGCCCTCACAGCAACCAACACCAGATGAAAGAGCATTCCTCTTGGGTAACTGCTTTGTTTTTCAGTCTGTCTCTGACAGTTTGTCTGTCTCATCTGTAACAGAACCAGGATCCTGGGGCATACCCTGCCTGAGAAGGCTATGGTCTGATGAAATATTTTCACACTAAGTTTTATTTTTATTTTAAAGAATACAAAATAGTGATAGGAAAAAAAAAAACCATTAGAAATGATATACAAGATTTCACTAAACAAAGTAATAGGACTGGGGCCGGGGAACTAGCTCAGTAGAATAAGCACTTGCCTGGCAAGTGCTGCAAGGGCCTGAGTTCAATCCCTGGTTCCAACAAAAAAAGAAAAAAACAAAGTAATAGGACTTCAACAATGGTTGCTGTATTACATGACACTGTCTTCAAATTATTGTTCAGGTTACCAGGTATAAACGTGTAAGATTTGTTTAAAGAAAAACAAAACAATAAGAAAGAAGTCATAAGAAATTTAAAAGAGGAAGAAAATAAATCAGAATTAAAAAAAATTTAAGCATTAATTGCTCCTTTCAAAAGACCAGTAGAAATCCACAATACAATTATCCAAACTATCTTGCATATATACCTAAATACCTGAATATATATTTTTCCTTCTTTCATTTGTCCTTTTCCTCATCCAAGTTTTTCCTTCCCATTGAATAAGTTCTTTCCCTTTCACAGTATCTGTTGTGCCCTTTAGATTTTCCTTACTCCTTCAGGTTTTCACATTAGCAAGATAATTCATTGTTTGCACATGTGGATCTAGCCTCTAGCTGCATCCATTTATCTGAAAAAGCCTAGAATTTATCTTTTTTTATACCTGAGTACTACTCCGTTGTGTAAAAATACCACATCTTTTTTATCCATTCCTCAGTTGATGGACATTTGGGTTGTTTCCAAGATTTAGCTATGACAAATTGTGCTGCTATAAACATGGGTACACATATATTGCTCTGATGTGATGATTTCAGTTCTTTTGGAAAAATACCTAGGAAGTGTATAGCTGGCTTAAATGGGACCTCCAATCTTAGCTTTTTGAGGACTCTCCATACTGATTTTCATAATGGTTGCCCATACTGAGTTTTAAAAACAGAATTTTGGGCCAGCCAGATAGCTCAGTGGATTAAAGCACCTGCTTAGGCAGGCACAGGGACTGGGATTCAGTCCCTGGTGTGCTGTGCCAGCCCCACCCCAGGGGCGTGCTGAAACAGCAACTGAGACTGGGCGTGGTGGTGCACACCTTTAATCCCAGTGCTTAGGAGGCTGAAAACATGAGCCTCCTAAGCACTGGGATTATGAGTCCAATCTGTGTAGTGAGACCCTGTAGACCCTGTACTAAGTACATTAAATAAATAAATAAATAAATAAAAACAGAATTTTGGAGATGAAGAGATTATTACATTTGAAATAGTCTCTTTTATTCAGTAAATTTTATGCTGCCTTCCCAAAGTAAAATGTAGATTTCTTTTGATTTTAAAATTGTACAAGGTATGTTCCTCCATTATGTTTATTATTTTGAACTTTCCATAAGGTTTAAAGTTGTTTTCAAGCAGTTTTTCTTCATGTAGAGAGGGTTTAAATGTTTCAAAGCGATCAGCATGAAATAAAGGATTTAAATTTCTGTAGCTTTTATGTTGGGGAAAACACTGTATTTTCCAGCAGTTGTCATACTGTTGTACTTAAGATCAAAAGTAGTTTTTAAAAGAACAATATTGAGGGACTAGGGAGATGGCTCAGTAGAATAAGTACTTCCCTGGCAAGCGCAAGGGCCTGAGTTCAATCCCCGGTTCCGCCAAAAAACAAAACAGTATTTAGGTAAACATTGATATCTGCCTTTTTTTGCGGTGTTTATAAATTTTTTGGTATGCTTATCAATAACTTCTTTTTTCTCTTATTTCTAGAATTTAAAAAATGTCAAACTCTTTCTAAAAAGTTATTCTAGACTTCGCTTTAAAACTTTAGTTTTAATGATAGAATGATGTGTGTGTGTGTGTGTGTGTGTGTGTGTCCAGCTCAGCCCACCAGGGGGCGGGGCTGGCTGGCATGTGGTGCTGGGGGATTGAACCATAGTCCCTGTGCTTTGCTAAGCTTGTTCTAAGTAGGTGCTTTAGACCACTGAGCCATCTCACCAGCCCCAGAATCTAGGTTTTTAAGAGAGTATTGCTTAACATATTTGCAACTGGGCTGTAATTCTTATGTCTTCTTGCTGGTTAGCCTTGATTTGAATTCCTTTTTCTGGTATTAAATAGCTAATCCCTGGTGGTTCAGGCTACCTCATGATGCTGTGATGTATGTACTAATTAACGGTGGTTCATGTTAGCAGGAATGTGTTAATTTTCATATGTTTGTATAATTTCTGTGGTTTCTTTTGTCTTTGATTCCTAGTTTCTTTACACTATTATCTGATAATATGCATGGGATAATTTCTGTTCTTTTATATTTATTTAAATATGTTTTATAGGCTAGCATATGGTCTGTTTTGGCGAAATCCCATGTGCTATGGAGAAGATAAGTATATTCTGGGTAGAGCACTGTGGATATCTATTAAATCCATTTATTCAGAGATTTGGTTTAATTCTAGTATAATTTCTTTGTTGCTTTTTTTCCTAGTTGGTCTGTTCGTGACAGTGGAGTATTGAGGTCCTACATTATAATTGTGTTATTTTTTATATCCAATTGTGTTTATTTTATGAAATTGAATATGCCAATTTTTGGTGCATGTATGCTTATAATTGATATCTCTTTCTGTGGACTATTTCCCTTAACTAGTTTGTAGTGATATTTTTACCTCTTTTGATCAGTTTCAGCTTGAAACCTAATTGTCTGAAATTAAAGTAATTATTACTTTTTTTCTGGGTTAGTGTTGCATGGAATATTGTTTTCTATCTTTTGGTTTTTAGTCTATGAATTTCTTTTGGGTAAACATGTTTCTTGTATAATACATACCATTTGATTTTGTTTCTTGATTCATCCTGCTGATCTGTGTCTTTTAATTCAGACATTCAGACCATTCATATTGAGAGTTATTACTGGAAGATGTCGACTTATTCTACATCATGATTTTCCAATTGCTGACCTCTTCCCTTTCTGTTTAACTGCTTACTCTGCCTCTCCTACTTATCCTCTACAATGTTTTGGCATTGTTAGCTTCATTTTCTCATTCAGGGTTATTCTTTTTTTTTTCCCATAATTTTATTGAGAAATAAATAGCAATGAGACAGTTTCAAATCAAATTGGTAGGATAGTTCCAATAATTAACACATTGCATACTGCCTTCCTAGTGGTTATTTGTTGTACAAGATGCAGACATGATATCCTATTTACAAACACTATTCAAACAAATCCCTCTATTCCTTAAGAGAATGTAGCTATATATCTATCCTAACCATTTTGAATACACAGATACAAAATGGTCATTCATCTGTATCCGCTTTTTTTGTTTAGTTCCATCATTTAAATATTATAGATGTGTGAACTCAGCAAAATATTCCAAAATAGTCCAGTAGTCCATAATAGTACTGGGTCTTCCACTTGACTGGTAATATTAGAAGTTGTTGACCTGAGTCCCCTACAGCTCAACATAACAGCATGGCTTTATTTCTTGTACTTCATTTTTATACTTTTCTGCTGGATGGTTAAGATCAAGATAAAGCAAGACCTATGTAACAAGAATTGTAGCTTTTGGATCTGATAAGGTCAATCAAATCCTCTCAGGATTTATCCTGGGACCCTGTACTTCAGATTGTAGATCCTTTGTCAGTGTCAGCCATGTGGATGAGTCATGGCCATTGCTTGGCCAGTTTGCTGTCTGTGAAAGCCTGAGAGAATGTTTTCTCTCCATGTGACTCTCCTTAGGCACACTCTACATCATCGATCACTTTCCTCTTTGGCGCCATAATCTCCTTGATCAGAAAATTTGGGACAAAACTGAGTTACATGATATTACAGTACAAGTTCTCATATGTCCTGAGTCTTAATTGACCTTGGAAGGCTAGGGCCAAAATGTTGGCTTTCCTTGCAGCCCTCCTTTTTCTCTAATTTTTGATCTGCAAACGTAGGTTGTTAACCCTCCAGAAGAGAAGCTTATTGTTATTGCCGTATAACCTAGGCTGTTTAGCTTAACCTCACTATCTGTCTGAATATCAAACATCTTAGGCATAACATGGAATAGGTATTTTTCATAAAGTGTTGATATGTTAAACTTTAAGTCCCTACATAATATGACAAAAAATTAAAATTTAAAATATATTTCAAAAATAGGAATAAAGAATTATGTATGTTTACACATAAGTCCAGAAATCTAACCATATACAACATTGTTGCAGGACAGTCTCGCAACACTCCTTTTCCTGTCTCCTGCCTTCATTCACCACCCCCTTCCTTTTTAAACAATCATCTACCTGAGAGACAGCATGGCAGCAACTGGCGTGTCATGACAAACAGCATGTATTTGGAAGACAAGAATGACAGGCACTCCAAGCATGAACCTACTATTACAAATTGCCATATTCAATGCAGTTGCTTAGTTCACAGGTGTCAGTATATATAGTTAGTCAGGGTGAGAATCCGTCCAATTAACTGCTAGATTTGAAACAGGGTTATTCTTGAAAAAATTTATTTTTTATTTTTTATGTAGTTAGTACAGGGTCTACAGGATCTAACTACATAGATCGGACTCATAATGATTCTCCTGTTTTCAGCCTCCTAAGTGCGGGGATTACAGGTGTGCACCACCATGTCCAGTGTTACTCTTGAAAATTTTATGGTGCTCATTAATTTCTTGAGGTCCTCTTTATCATGGAAATACAGTACATTATTTTTTCACTACTTTTGAGAGAAAGTTTTGTTGGATATATCAGTAGGTGTTGAAAGTTGTCTTTTAGGGCTTGAAGCACTTCAAGATTTCCTGGCTTTTAGAGTTTATTTTGAGAAGTCTGCTGTAATTCTAATGGGGTTACCTTTATAAGTAATTTGTTGCTTTTCTCTTACAGCTTCCATGTACTGGACTTCTGGTATTTTGAC